GGGTGAAGAAGAGTGATCAGCCAAATTTGTTAGTAGATCACGGTGTTCTTAAAGGAAAGAGAACTCTTATGCCTAGATGATTAGATACTTTTTTATGCATTCAAGTTCTTAACTATCATAGTATTTGTGCATGCACCGCTTATATGTGTTCATTTTTCTTTGGCCTTATTTTTGGTTTCATGGATGTGCATTTTGCATTGGTTTGCTTTGGCCCATGCATATTTGAGTTTTTATTGTGTGCTTGATTTTATTTTTTCTTTTGTGTGTGAGCATTCATTTTTTGAAAAATAAAAAACACAAAAAATTGAAAAATTGAAAAACACAAAAATAGTTGGTTATGGAACACTTCTACATCAAGATATATGTTTCTTGAACATGCATGTTGTGATCATGTATGAGTTGAAATTGATAAGCTGTAGAATAATTTTCATTACTTGTTTAAATCACTTTGGATTACTTAATATAGGTGTCTTTATGTACCATATGTATTGCACACTATAAATTTGTTAGGGGGAGTCTACTGCATGTGGGAGATTTGGGTGGTTGTCACATATTAATAGGGTCATCTTAGTTGCCTAATGGAGAAGAATCTGCACTTAAGATGAAAAATAAATAAGCTTGAAAAATGTGAAGATCTGAAAAATATGGAAAATTGAAAAATATAAATGCTCAAAGTAAGGGGGAGAAAAATAAAAATAATAAGTATAGGTCCTACTGCATTTTCATTGTTTGACTTTAATTAGCATGGAAAGATACTTATTGGCAATGATTAACATGTCCTTTCTCGTAAAATTAAGGTTTGGAGTCCTGCTTGAATTGGATTAGTGACACTCTACACACATGAGTCACTTGTACTATTTACTCTATTTTGATCTGAACTAAGTATGTGGGAATGTTTATGGTCTATTGATTTTACTTGTGCATGCTATCAACTCCATTTTTAAGTTGTTATATGTTATTGCTCTGTTTGAATTTGATAGTATTCCCTTCAACATTTGTGACAAAAAAGGGGAAGAGAAATGTGTAACTAAGGGGTAGAACATAAGAGCATAGAACTATCTTGCAACTTGCTGCATGTGCACTGATTTCATTGATTCATTAACATTTTGCATTTAGCATAATTGCTATGTCTAGGGGTCATTGGAAAGAGACATAGATACATTGTATTACTGCATAAAATTCATAAGTGTTTGCAGTAAGGGGGAGCGTTGCATTGCATTCCATGTCACATCCATTGCTGTTCGAGTTTTGATGTTTAGTAATGTTAGTGTTTCGATTGACATCAATGTCGCGTCTCAAACAACAATGTTGATTTGTGGTTAAGTGCTTTAATATATATATATATATATATATACACACTGGGTATGTGAGTTTTTTAGGTTTCAGGAAACAGGTACAACAAGGAATGCAAGACTCAGTAATTGGGTATACTGGGTAGAATAGTTTTCTATTTTCTAGTCTTCACTTTATTTGTATATTTTTGTCACAGAAGGCTAAAGGGGGAGTGTGTTAGGTTTTTATATGTAAATGGCAATTCTGTGAACAAAAGGGGCTTAATTGAACATGTTGTAAAAGTTAGGGACTTGGGTTGCAATTTGTATAAATGGTTTAGGCTAGGATTGAGTTTGGAACAAGGTAGAAGACACGTCAGATTTTTGCTAGCTACTTGCCAAGGTGTTTCTCGAGTGGATGAAGTAGAACCATTGTCTCTTGTTTTTCGCCCGGGCGTCGCTCGAGCGAAAAGCGGGAGCGAAAAAGCTGTTACTCGCTTTTCGCTAGAGTGTTGTTGGAGCGACAGTGACACATTGTCAAACCCTAGGTCATGATTTGAAGAGTTTTAAACTGCTCATGACACCTATTTGTCCCCAGGTATAAATATAAGAAGTCATGGACAGAATTGGAGAGAGGTTGCTCATTGTTCTTCATATTCATAACACATTAATATCATCTCTGTGATCCAAAAAACATAATTCATTGGAGGATTCAATGATATTCATCTTGTGATTCAGCAACCTAGAATTGGGAAAACATTAGGGCCGTAAATACAAAACATCTAGCTTCCTTAATTTGTTTAGAAAGGGACTCTCTCATTGGGGGATTGAAAGAGGTGGATTGAAGCGCAGTTATAAGAACAAGAACAGGAGGTTCTTGGTATTCCAATTGGAAAGACTTTCAGTGTAAGACCAAGAAGCTGTTGGAGACAGAAGATTAGACTATAGGAGGTAGATCAGGAAGTCTAGCAGAAGGTTACAGGAGGTAGATCACGAGGTCTAGTAGGCTAGAGGTGTCTATGTCAATAGATCGTGAGACTGTGACAGCGGCTCTTAGTGAGTACAAGTTGAGGAATTGCTGTGTATTCCCTGAACGGTCTATAGTGGAGGTTATTGGCTTGATCCCGGAGTTTTTACCACGTTAGTTTCTCCGTTATCAAATTTGGTATTGTTTACTTTCCAACAAATTAGTACAATTGCTTTATTCAAACCTAGGGAAAAATGGACTTGTATGCTGAATCATTTAGAAACTAATTAAAAGTGACGTGTTTGCTTTAATTAGTCAATTCCACACATAAGGTTGAACTAATCAGTAATCTGGAACGTAAACTCCGTAACTTTAAAAGTTGAAGTTGGAATTAGAATGTTCTGGATCTTAACAAATTGTAAATATTCAATGACCAAAACAATGGCCAGTAACAGGCTTGGTTTGGTGTAAAAAGTTGGTTAATTTTCATCCTTTTGAAACCAAATGTTGGTTGGTCAAAGCATTAGTGAATAAAAATTACCATATTTCAACAACCAATATTTGGTCGTTGAAGATATACCGATAACAGCTAAATATTGGTATTCGAAGGATAGTTGATAAAAAAATGATACCGGTCACCAATCAATTGATGGTCAATAATTGCTAAACAATTTTTTTATTCTATATTATTTTATTTTTTATCATTCAGCAACCAAAATATGGTCATAGAAAGCATTTTCCAGCTAAAATCTGGTTGCTACATATTAATTTAGTAAAAGACACCGAACAACCAGTATTTGGTCTCTACTAATATTTGAAGTAATAGTTTAGATAGACTTTGAGTAACAACGGGTTATTTGCTATACCTCATTAATAGTTTTTCAATTAATCAATATAACAAAGAATGCACAAGAGAAAATAACTAAATAAGAAATTAACAATAACATACAATAGTAACAACAAAAGGGTAATTACTACCAATTTCGATGTGGTCGTTGAAACCCACCAACCACAAACTAAAACAGGCGAGGTTTATCCCCCTAGGCAATCAACGACAACAAAGTTGTCGCTAACGGTTATAGATCAACTGACCAAGTTCAATTTGGTCATTGAAATACTCATTAATTAACACGTAAAAAAACCCGGGATTAAAATCCTTCCCTAATTATTAGCGACAAAACTAATACATGAAATCAACAAGCAAATTTCGGTTGCAACAGGGCATAGGAAATTTATTTCATTCTTAACTGCCCAAAAACTTTGCCAACCAAATATTTGGTCGGTGAAAGTGTTTTATAGCAATCAATTTTATTTGGTCGAGTCCATATTTTTTTGTAGTGAGAAAAGAATTGTTCAATAATGCATGTGTAATCTCACCTTCCAATTGGTTATTGTTAAGATAGACATGACTTATGCTTGATGTATTGAAGCAAGATGGGATTGGGTGTGATGAATTGTACTCTTGATAAATCTAAGAGGGGCCAAAAGAATGAAGTTTGATACTAATTATTTCAAGTCAACGTTACTAGATGGTACACAAACATTTAGCACATATTTGGATATGTTTAATAAATAAATTTGGAAAAACCAAACGTATATTTGTTGGAATATGTCCAATAAATTTATTACTAGAAATATCAATAGTCTCCATATTGAGATTGGTGCTTGCTTGCAACTTGAGTTTCTCCAAAGTCACGTGAGATTCAGTCTAATAGTGAAAAAAGTGAAGTAGAGTTGGATGGCAATTTGACAAACTGAAAACCTCTTCTTGGAAGTTAGGAACCCAATTTCATAATTCAGTACTCGCTATTACTTTATTTTCTTTGGCAAATATGAAACCAAGACTAAAATGATTATATAAAGCCTCAAAGGAAATGGGCACGTGAAAGTTGTCACTTGAAATGGAAAGATATTCACGTGAGGTGAGTTCTGATTCTTTTGAAATACAGCAATATCTCCGTAGAACTTATTCCTTGAGGCCACAATCAATCGAAGAGATTTCATTTTTTCTGGACAAGATGGAAGTGATTCTACATACACATTTCCACTCAAATCCAGCTCCTCAAGTTTATTAAGTTGACAACACCCTGCTAAATTAAACACTAACCAACAAAACGAAGATAAGGAAAATTGGGGTCGATTATTTTCTTACTGTATTTTAACAAATCTAAATGCAACTAGCTCCTTTGAGAGAGATATATATACACTTGCTTCTGGATGAAAATAAAAAATGGAAAACATGATCACTTAGCACTCATCACACTATTTTTATTTCTTTGTAAAACAATAAAGAAAAAGTTCAATAGAAATAGGAGAGAAATAGTGAAATTCAAATCTGAAGATAGAAAAAAACTAAGAAAAACACCCACAAACATAGAGAGAAACCTATATGTGTGTAATATATATACACACCATGGTCCTCACGGATTTGTAAATAAAACCTGCAGAGATTGGAAGGTGAAAATTTTGCCTCGTTGGGAAGGGAGCCATTGAGTCCACACCCAGGCAAAGATAAAACCTTTAGAAAAGTCATTAATCCAATGCTTTGAAGAAAGTTTGCAACAAAGAAAAGAGTTCAAAAAGGATCCCTCGGAGATACAATTATTTTTCATAGCAAGAATAACAAAATGATCATTAGGTTGCACACTCTCTCTTTGACTAAGTGTGACCCAAAAGTAATGCACGAATTCTATATATGGAGGAAAAAATATAAATAAAGAGATCTAATTTAAATCTTTTTGTTAAACTAATGTTTGCTCCTCAATGTTTTTCTCAAACAAAAAAAATTTAACTGGGAAACAAATCAGATTCCCATTTATTAATACAAGTACATATAATCATTTCATACTTTCATGATTGAATATGCATACACATGGCCATCATGGCTTCCTGCCATGCTGTTATATTTGGCTTCACTGCTTTGTTACTTCCGAATTATCAAATCTAGAACGAAAAATGACAAAATTGATTAGATAGACTGTAAACATATTTTAGTTATAAAAGTTAGTATAGTACGTAATGATCTTCATACCGAATTAAAGCAGATAGATCTTGATTTTTCCAGAACACACGGCCTCAAAAATGTATTATACAAGCCTCAATGAAATGAAACGATGCTTTTCTCTAGTGAGGATTTATGGATAGAACTGTAGCAATGCAAATCACTACAGATAAATAAGATATGATGAAGCTTATGTAGAAGAACTCCATGTCCATGAAACCGCACTCCTCACTTTCATCATGGGGCACTGCAGGTGTTGATCAGGTGCTAGTACAGTCATCAGGTAATGGATGGCCGCAAAGATATGGATTTCCCTGATAACTACCTTCATCGAAAGTCCAAAACTGAAATTTCTCTGGCATCATACCTGCTAAATTGTTATGCGCCACACTAAAGCCTTCCAAATTCTTTAACTGAATCAGACTAGTGGGGATACTCCCACCTAAGTTGTTATAGGAGAGATCTAAGCTCTCCATCTGACGTAGGTTTGAGAATGTTTCTGGAATTGTTCCAATGAGATAGTTGTGCGACAAGTTGAGTGAGTGGATCTCACTTAAATTTCCAAGGCAATTCGGAATTTCACCATGTAATTTATTAGAAGAGAGATTAATTCCTGACATGTATTTGAGGATGCTACCCTCGTAAGTATAAGAATTTCTCTTTGTCATGAACGTTACTGTAATTGGCAAATGAATTTTACTGGAATCTCCAGTTCTTTGGAAAGTCATGTGAAATGCCCTTTCTAACATAACCTTATACATGTAATACGGAAGTGTTGAAGTTGAAGGGGAATGGTATTTCAAACAAGGAATGGTATTTCAAACAATTCTAAGTTCTCCCTGGCGAAGTTACCAAAGTAGTGCTGGATTTGACCGGAAAGAAAATTAAAAGAAAGCTCTATCATGCTTAGTTGGTCCATCTCACAAAATTGGTGAGGGATTATGCCTTCAAACTGGTTATTGCTGAGAAGAATAATTCTCAGGCTTGATAGATTGCCAATCCATTGAGGGATATTTCCGGTGAACTTATTCCATCTAAGATCCAATGAAGTCAAATAAGAGCTATTATAAAATGCATATGCAAGCTCACCTTCCAATTGGTTATTGTTTAGATAGACATAAGATATGTCTGATTGATTGAAGCAAGTTGGGACTGAACCACATTACTTGTTCTCCTATAAATCTAAGAGGAAAAGATGGAGATTGCAAATTTCCTCCAGGATTGGACCCTCAAGCTGGTTGTTAGACAGAGAAATTTGATTCAATGCTATCATATTACTCACTGATGTAGGAATTCTGCCCGACAAACGGTTGTTACTAATGTCTAACACTATAAGAGGGATGGTAGACAAGCTCTTTGGAATGGTGCCTGAGAACTCATTGCTATCCAGATGTAAACATCCCAAGTGCCATAGGTTTATAGATTCTGGAAATATTTGTCCTTGCAATTTATTGTCTGATAATTTGAGAAAATACAGAGAAAAGCATCCCATCACTAATTCCTGTGGTATGGTGCCGGACAAGTTATTGCTGGACAAGTCTAAATATTTTATAAATATTAAGTCACTGAAACTAGAAGGTACACAACCGTCAAACATATTCGTTGACATGTTCAATGCAACCAAGTTTGGAAAAATTGAAGTTATATTAATCGAAACATGTCCATTGAACTTGTTAGTAGATACATCAAAATTCTCCATGTTGGGATTGGTGCTTGTTGGCAAATTGAGAGTTCCTGTAAAAGCAATATTCCTCAGGTGTAGTTCCCTAAGTCTTGTGTTGTTCTCCAACAACCAAGTGGAAAATTATTTCCTATGTTGTTATTTGAAAGATCAAGAATTCTCAAATTGGATTGATAGTGAAAGGAGTTGGGTAGTGTTCGACGACCTCTTGAATTCATCATACTAAAAGCCTCTGGTTGAAAATTGGGAACCCAGTTTCCCAACTCGTTGTCGTTTATTATTTCATTGTCGTCCAAAAATAAAAAATTTAAGCTTGAATGATTAAAGAATGCCTTGAAAGAAATTGGAACTTGAAAGTTACTTGAAAGGGAGATATATTCAAGCGATGCAAGTTTCGAAAGTGGAGGGGAGGCAATATTTCCAGTGAAAGTATTTCCGGCGAGTTCAACCCATCTAAGAGATGTCAGTTTCGCAAAACATGAAGGAAGTATTCCTTCATACTCATTCCAACTAAGATCTAACACTTGGAGGTTTTTAAGTTTGCACAACCCTGTTGATCAAATGAATACAATTACTATTTGAAAACACATCAATGAAACAGGGAATATGAAGGCTTTGCATATAAAAAGACAGCATTTTTTTTTTTTTTTGTCTCCAGACTTACTTTCGAGTAAGAAAGTTTCATTTTCAAAAGTGAATTCTTTATGGTTGAAAGATGGTAAGAAGTTACTTATTTTGAATGTAACTATTAACTCTCTTATTTCCATCTCACCAATAAAAAAAATGAAAAAAAGCTATAGATTGTAAAATTTAATTACTTTTAATTAACAATGTAAGGTTAGCCTAACCTCTTTAAATTATATTTATTATAAAGTCCTAATTGACGAAGTTAAATACTTCTTTTTGATACAAAAGAGATATTCTGGTTCATTTCTATTTTTCACAAATTTTTTGTCAATATTTTATAGTGAAGTAATCAATATCTATTGCTTTCGAAAAAATATTATAGTAATTTTTCATCCATTAAAAGAGATAATCATGGGAAAACTTTACATATATTAACCAAAAATTCAATTGAGATGCAAGGAAAGTTGTAAAATTGTGAAAATAGAAATAATTGTAGAAAAACATTGTTTACCAAACAAGCTGTTAAATTTACCTTGAACAGAGTGAGGGTGCCATTGAGTGTGCATCCTGACAATGATAAAAACTTGAGGGAAGGTGGTACTCCAATACATCGTAGAAAGTTCCCATCCACAGTAGAATAATCCAAGAATAATCCCTCCAGCTGTCTTAAATGTCTCAACTCTTATACATGTAAGCAGTGGAATGTGCATGAGAATTGGAGTTCATATTGTAGTTAGTATTATAATTTATGTGACTAGGAATTACAGATCTTTTGGCTCACTATGAGATTGAATGCTTTCGTTTGAATAATTTTCCCGAAAATGGAAGTGCTTGAGGTATGAGAAAGCTCTCAAAGATTGCACCATGTTGCTAATGTTGGAGACAATTATGCTGTCCAATTTTAGCACTTGGAGATGATGCATACTTTTGATGCCTGAAACATAGAACTTTCTAGGGTAATATTCAAGTATAAGCATGTTAACGTTCATTATTCGAAAATATAAACTTGAAAAGCCTTTTTTAGTACCAGTTAGAGTTGCGAAGTTTTCCACCTCATTACCACTTAGATCAAGCTCCTCCAATTTACTTTAAGCATGTAAATCTAGATGGAGGTAGAGAAATAAACATGTACAAGCAAAATATGGAAATAATGGTTGAGAACTCAGTTCTATTTGACACAAATAAGAAAAATAAGGAGTTCTAAACTGTGGAACGAACCTTTCACTTGGATGGTTCCTTTTAGTTCATTGTAAGAGAGATCTAGAGACTTGAGTGATGATAGCACATGAAGTGAGGAGAAAATGCTATTATTGAAGTAATTTCCTTGTAAATTAAGGACCTTCAAATATTTTAGATCTGTTTGTATAACTGAATCCACAACAAGGTACAATATAATATCTAATAAACTGTAAACCACTATTTAGTGAAAGGGAGGGCCCAAGTGCAAAATACCGTGAATGCTTTTGTTCATAATAATAAGGCACAAGTGAAGTAATCAAAGAAAAGGAAATCTAAAATGAATAATGATGAAGAACGAAATGAGATGATACACCAAAAATAGTACCCAAGCTTCTGGCTTTATTTTGACTTAGGTCGAGCTCCTTCAAATTGGTAAAATCTTTCAGGTCTGTCAAAAAATACAAGATATTTAAAGGTTCTCTGACCTAAAAACATTATATCGCGCTTGTGGAAATGAAACTCACTTAGCATCGATAGAATGTCGTTATCACCAAACCAATCAGTACCCCAAATATGAAGAACTTCTAGCTTGGTTAATCCAAAAAGTCTTCCATTGCCTACACAATGATTTTTCGTAGAAACTAATAATATGTTTCGTCTAAGCTATTCAACATTGAAATGATGCCTAGAGAGGAAATAAGTAAACAAAAAGAAAGGTGTATTCCATAATGAAAGACTGCTTCTGTAGTAAGGTGTATTCCAATTTTAAAGACGAAAATGTCTTATTTGTTGTACTTTCAAGTACCAAGCATGTCCTTAATGTTTTCCATTTGAATTACTTGGGATGACCAGCACTATTAATATCTAACTCAATGCGATTAACATATACATTTAGTAATGCTAAACTTATTAGGAAGGAATAAATGGCAAATGTTTTGATGTAGTAGGAGAACAATTTGCATAATCTTCAAGTCACAGTATGGTAAGTAGATTTATCTAAAATGAAATCGAGATTTCTATTTTTACAAACAACTTAAATTAGTGATAAAATCTCAAGTTGAGCTTCTGGCTTTTATATTGTTTTTTCCATGGACTGTGTTCTTGCATTCATAGAATTAGTAAGAGTTGGAACTCCGTTATCTCATCTTCACTCTGAAAAATTCTTGCACTTAATGTTGGTTACCTGCATATGTTTTCTCGACAATGTTCTATTATTACTGTAATTTAAAATTATTTACTCTCTCTACTTTTCTCGTAATACAGTAGTAAGGATAAATTGGTTGTTTGATTTGTACTTTTATTAGAGAAAATTAAAGGTTTAGAGAAATTGCTTATCTTATACTGCAACAAGAAAAGTTCAATCATAATAAACTTGATTTATTTTCTAAAGGGTTGATTCTTCGATAATTTACATGATCTATGAAAAAACCACCAGCATACGAAGTATATAGAACTTACTATTTCTGTAATTTTCTCTCTCTAAAATGTTGAATCCAACTCTCAAATTCTTGAGAGAAGAAAGCTGACTAAGAGATGACAAAATTTTGGGATCAAATGAATTTTCAAACATATCAAGGCCCTCAAAATTTCTCAATTTTGACAATTTATCAAAACCTGCAATAAAGTTCAATATATCTTTATTTACCACTCAAACAAAACAGGAATAATAAAATTGAAGCTACCCAATTAAGGAGAGATGACATCATACCTTCATTCTCAATCCAACCTACTAACTGATTCCCCGACAAAGAGAGATTTCTAAGCTCTTGAAAGGGAAGAAATAGAGAGGCATTAAAATACCAATCTCCTAATTTTTGATCCATGGCGAAATCAAGGTTAAGATGGATTACTTGTTTAGTTGTGTTACTACATTCAACCCCTTGCCATTGACAACAGTCAGTTCCAATCTCATTAACCACCCATGAAGTCAGCGATCTTCCATCTGGAAAGTTTATGTTTGCTTTGAGGTGCAAAAGAGCAGTCCTCTCTTCTTCCCAACACCCTAAACAGTACCATCCATTTAGTAATGAAAGCACTGGCATCACTAATGTTACCCATAACTTTATTCCCATCTTTCTTATATCTCAACACACTAAAGCTGGAAAAATCTCTTATATATGTTGCTTGATGGATTTTCGGCTTTGCGAGCATCCCTTTTAAAAGGGGAAACTTGATGTACAGTTGATTGACTACTACTATTTATTTTATGAATTTTTCCAGTGATATAAAACTATTGTTCCTACACTATTGTCCAAACTCTGGGAGATTTCCTATGAATTCTAGTTAACAAGTAAGACGTGTTGATTTCTTCTTCTTCTTCTTCTCCTTTTTTTTTATTTTTATTTATTTATTTTTTTTGGGTTATGAAATTAAGATTTGTGATATTCTACAATAAGGTCTTGACTAATTAATGGCGAAATGAATTCTACCATATATTTCCTACCAGTAATGTGACAAGCAAAGGGGCCACCAGAGGAAAATGGTGCAAACTAAAATAAGGAGAATTTGACTTGGGATTATTAAAATGAAAGCCATTAATTCGACAGAGACTTTAACAGATACAACGTCAGTTTCAGCCTAGTAGTAAAAACATTGAATTATTAAGAATTTAATCCACTAGTTTTTTCCCTGTTAGGTCATTAATCAGTCCCAAATGCAGTCTCGATTAAAAAACACAACAGTAAGCTAGCTTCCCTTGTGAAATGCCATTAGCAAAATACTAAAAATACGGCGCCTAAAACATTTTTCGCACATAGTTTTTTTAATATCATATGTACTTGATCCATGTTGACGGGTTAATTGAGAAGACAACAAATGCCTTTGCGAATGATCATCAGTTATCGACTGTTTCTCACGATGTTGTATGGGTGGCAATACAGTATTCTCCAAGGAAGCTTCTCGGATTGCATCATAAAAATGAACACCAAGATGGGCCACATCAAAATCCAAAGCTTTGTTGGTTCAAATAGTTATATACTCCGTTCTTTATATTACATCCTCTCCACCTCAGAAGACTGGCTTTATAGGGGGTGGGGGGGAGAGCATTAAAAAAAAAGTATACCTTGCCTTGTATGGCCACTAGTACAATGTTTCAAGAAAAAAATGTTATTCCATCTTCCTTGAACAAAGTAATCAGCGAAAAGGGAAATCAAGAAAATAAATTCCTAGTTCATCTGAAACCATAACCAGAAACTTACAGGAAAGAATAATTGCTATTTAAATACCCATTCCCAGGACAAGGAGCAACTAACTACTCTCGTAGCTACGTCTATCAATTTGAGATGAGCATTTACAACAACTTTCTTTTTTTCTAGTTTATAACTGTACACATATTTATGACAAAACAAAAAGTCCACATATAGTTTTTTCTTTTTCTTCGTTAGTCCTGTTAACAAAAAATGCTCAAGTAATGCATCATTAATGCACTAATAATAAGATTTTTAAATTCTTGATTTTTTACAATAAAAAAATTGGTTGATTGACTGTTGAAAAAAAAAAAAGAGAATTTTTTTACATTCTAAACAATTTTTTCATGGTAATGCAGTGGCTTGTGGACCGCATTTAGAAAAGTTTTGCAAATTGAAGAAATTCTCACAATCCTCCCCACCTATCAAGAACTACATTTGTCTACAACTACAACTTTTTCCACCATGAGAAGACTTTTATTTGTCCATTTTAAAAGTAGTAAATGTTTGTTTCTACTTTCCATCCCAGCCTTCTTTATGATGACATGATATGCAAAACTTAAGACTTATATCTATTTTGTGAAATATGGTTCTATCTAGTAATAGTCACTAGCAGACACATGGGGTCCTAGGGTCACGTGACCCTAAACAAAATCACAATAACATATTTTATGAGATCCACAACTTTTTTTATGTTAATTCCCAGGGACAAAATCACAATAAATTTTAATTTTTTCTCTTTTATCTTACTCTCTCGCAGCTCTCTTCTTAATGCTTTTTATCAAAACCTTAGCCCTTTAAACTTTTTAAAATTTGTAATTAATTTCTCTGCAAATCTTCCCTACCAATCAAATTTTCAACTAATTTGAACCCAAATTTGCATTTTCGCCTATTAAATTGTGTATATAAAATGTGTCTGAAATGATTATGTCGAATTGTTTTTTTTTGATTGATTATCAGTATTGAATATTGGTTATACGCTTTCCTTTTGATTAATTGAGTTGATTGTTTTAATTGATTGTTTATATCAATATACTATGAATTCTTTAAACGTAATATATATATATATATATATATATATGTATGTATGTATGTATATTTCCTTGTGATGAGAAACATATTAGTAAAAGGACTGCTCGAAATTAAATGGATGAAAACGATGAGCAAAATATTAATGAAGGAATGTTTTTTAATCGTAAATCAGCAATTTCTCGGTTCAAATATGAATAATAAAAAAATCAAGAACAAAGTATTTGATCTGTACAGGGTTTGATTGTGCTATCCTAACTAAAAATATTTGCGTCCGTCCCTGGTATCAATGATAGAACTGCAATACTAAAAACAAACTCTCAAAGTTTACAAAATTGACTCAAATCTTCTTCAACTTCACCATCGATTAATTCTATGATGTTGAGCTCAGAATTTAGTAACAGCGGATCAAAGCATCATCATCATCCAAGGGAATGGTAATGGATAACCAAAAATAAAAAATAAAAAATGCCGGAGGTAGTCAAGAATTCTTACCACAGAACAAGTCTCACCCTTTAATTACTCTTTCTTCTCTCTCATTTGTCAAATCTAAATGAACCAAGCGAAGAGACTTGCAATTAAAAGATCAAGACATTGGAATTCAAAATTCAAACATTATACTATGATAAAGAGTGAAAGAGACAAGTCTAGTATAGAGAAATTGACTACAAAACTAAATCTAGCTATTGGCTTAATATATGTTCCACGATTATCCTAAACAAAAACAATCCTTATCAAGCTCTCTGGGCCAATTAACTTGTGCCGCGTGGTAAAATATTCCACCTCACAGGCTCATTGTTTCTTCTTATGGCAAAACTTTCTATCCATGCCTAGTGCTTCAATATTTTCTCTTTCATACGATGTCATTGAAGGATATAAACAAGTTTTTAATTTCGAGGAAAACCCATCATTTATACATTTGTCACGAATGCTCTGCGAAAGAATGCTATCATTTTGTATGAAAACCATTAGTCATCGATTAACTATACACATCAGCCTCAACAATTTTTATTTTATTTTATTTTTTTATATTTTACATTGTCATTTTATTTGAATATAATTGACGTGGTTTACATATGGAAATTATCAATTGTTTTATAGTTTCAAGATTTCATTACTTTATGATAATTTTTGAATGTTTGCTTTGATTAATGTTTTGCTTATGGTAGTCTTTTAATTAATATAGTAGACAAGGATTTTATTGTGGTATTTTAAAATTTCGTTATAGAGTAAGATTCTATTTTATTGTATAAATATTAAATAAGACCACTTGGGTCTTTTGAAAAATTGGATATAATGAAATAAAAATGGAGTATTCTCAATTATGTATCTAAATTGTCGATATTCTACGAAATCAACATTGTCTAGCTTTTTGGCATTAATGATTTTTGTGTACTCAATCTTTTGTACGCACATTATTTGAAATAATTATTTTATGTACTTATCTGGACTTCTATACTTGCTTGTTTATTGATAATTATATCGATATCTACTTAATTAGTTTTCTGTAAATTATATTAATTTTTGGAAAATATCCAATAAATGCAATTAACATGAAAATGATTTTCTGAAGCTTAAATAGAGTTTATTCGTAGCGATAGAAAATAACTAGAGTGCAGCTGAACAATTAGAAAAATTAATAGAGTATTTAGAAGAAATTCATAAAATTCAGGTGTTAAATTCGACAATTAGAAAATCTGAAATCTAAATTACATATTTTTGGAACTTAAGATGGACCAATTTCAAATTATAATGAAGTTTTGGGGACTAGTATGGAAGATTTTCGAAATTTTAGTATATAAAGATGAAGATTAGAATGAAAAAGGACCAAAGTCATATAAAAGCATAATATGGGGATCGTGGTCCCGAACAAACAACTTTTTTGCCCCTAGGTAAGACTCATCCGGCTTGGTTGCAGAGTTTTGTTATTATTTAGTTTTTTTGATCGCTTTTTATTCATTGTCAAACCATAACTACCAAATTTTTCCCACCCTATAAATTGACCATGTTTTTGGTCGTAAAGAAAGGTTTCATCATATAAAATTAGATATAAAAGGGAGAGAAAAATCTAAGTAATAGTCAAGAAAGTAGGATTTATAGTTCTTAACTTGGAAGATCCTCAACTTTTTCTCATTTATATTCTTGAAACCCAATGGAATACTTCAATTTTTTTCTTGGTGCAAGACTATCAAATTAATAATACCTTTATTTTCCTTCAAACATAATTTGCCAACGTCAGATTTAGCACGTTCTTTCTCCATGTTTTTACATGAGTCATCCTTATCAATGAAGATTTTCCTAGATTTTCTTTCATGAATATGAAGGAATTTAGGAAAAACATGCGAAAAGGGGCTAAAATGGAGTAATATCAAAGTTCAGGGACCAAGGTGCAAATAGCCAAAGGATGACCCCAAAGAAGAAACGAAGATGTGAAAAATAGAAGAACAATTTAGAGAAGATATGAAGTATTGAAAGAAGAAGAAATGAGAAAAAGAGGTCAAAAAACGAGAAAACCATGTTTGATGACCAAAGTGCAAAGAATGTATTTTTACTTGAACTATGTTATAGCATAGTTATATCTTCCATTCAGTTGCATGGCATGTTTCAGGAAATTCCCTGGCTGAATTTCATTTAATTATGCTATAGCATGCGATTGTACTATGCTATAGCATAGTATATTGCCTTAGGAAAACTGTGGTTTCCTTATATGACTTCGGTTCTTGTGGAAACAAATCTTAGGATATTTTTAGAGACCAAGGGAAATCTATAAGTAGTAAACCATGCATTACAATACATTCATATAGGTTTTAGAGCATAGAAGGAGGCAAGAAACACGAAGATTGATTCCAAGACTCGAAGATTCAATTCAAAATTTAATTGGGTGATGTCAATTCTTCAATATTTCTTTTGTTTTCTTCATCATGCATATTAGACTAGATTTCTTCGTGCTAGGAGAACGATGAACTGTGTAATATGAATATTCAATCTTTAATTTTACATATTTGACATCA